CCTATACATAAGAGCACTTTGATTACTGCAAGAAATACACAAAGCACAACCAATCTTCAAAAACCCTTTTCCAGAAGAGGCTAAAAAAATATCAGACATTCAAATCCAAAATGCATATATTGAAAATGTCTATGAACAGCTCCTCCGGCTTGTTTCGATTACAATCAAACCTTTATTTCTATTTTATATGCTCTCTCAGTGGCAGGGTCTTGGACCGCCCCAATAAAGACTGTGTAAAACCAACAGATTTTGCCGAGTGCTAGAAAGATCAGTGCTTCTCACCCGGAACTAGCACCCGGGTAAAAAGCACACGCTCTAGTTCCAGAACCCGAAGACTCTAGGCGGTGAGGTTCCCACCAGTCAGGGCACCGAGGCATTTCTGCCCGTACTGAATGCCCCAGAGAGTCTGGGGGTCAGCGAGCTGTTTTGATGTCTTTATAGGGCTTTGGACTATAGAATTACAGCCAAAGACCTTCCCTAGCACTTCCCTTTCCCTCTCAGAGTAAGGAAGAAATTCAGCTGGAGTTTCTTTAATCGAGTTCCCAACACCTCCCTTTCTGAGAGCGAAAGTTTCTTAAGTCCCGTGACAACAGGGTTCCCGATCTGCCCTTCAGACTCCCACACTTCAACTTCCCCAGCACTCCCCTTTAAAGTGGGAAAGTCTAAAAGGCAAGAGCAAGGTTTTTACAAAGTTCCGAATCCCTCCAGTGTGCCTTCTCCGGCCGCAGCAGGCCGCCCGCCCGCATTCCGGCCGCCTCTCCCGCCTGGCTAACCCCGCTCCCCGCAAGGAAATGCGCGCGTGTCCGGGAGCAGGCAGGGGTCCGAGAGCCGGGCGCCCACCTTGAGCTGGGACTTGGAGACTTTGCCGCTGCGGTCCACATCCAGCGCCGTGAAAGCGTGCCAGATGGCCTTGAGCAGCTCGTCTTTCAGGCCCCCCATGGTTGCAGCTTTGCTGGCCCAACTACCAGACTGCTCAGCCAGCCCCTCGGTCCCTCTGACGCCCCTCAGCCACCGCCCACGCCGCCTCCGCAGCGCCTTCACGTGACCAAGGCGGGTCACGCCCCCACGGGCCACGCCCCCTCGGCACTTACCTTAGTCTCTAGGGCAGCTCGGGGTCGCCGGTTCACCCCACCCTGGCTGCTAAGGCTCCGTTTACTGTTCCAAACAGAGCCATAAATACCACCACAGTACTCCAATTTTTTTTCCGAGACAACCTTGACCATTTTCTCTTTCTGCTTATACCCAAAACAAGCACATCTCCTTGAGGAAAAACCAAAGAATCTGAGTAGGGCTCCAGAGGGCTCTCCCCATAGTGAATAAGGAACACCAGCCAAGTCTGGGAGACTGAGTCACGGTCGAAGGAGACTAGTCAAGACCCCTGGCAGGGTCTCAAACGCTACCATAGTGCCCAAATAGAATGTAGGAAATGAGAGAAGGCAGAAAAAGGCCTATGGGGAGGCTAGTTCATTATTTCGCAAAGGTACACGGATGCCCGCTCAGTAGTGGACAGGTAGTGGCGGAGTCAAGATTTAAGTTGGTTGTAGAAAAGCAAGGGTTCAGGCAACCTTTTAACTGCCCCACAACTGTTGAAAACTAGTTCACACCTTAAGAAGGATGTGTAACACTGTTGTATACTTTTGTCAGGTAATTTTATAAATGAAAACATTTTTAAGCTTTTCTCTTCACCAACCCCACTGCTGCTTTGTGCCATCGAGTCAACTACGACTCATAGCAATCCTATGAACAATGGCTCTGAACCTTGCCCTATCCAGAGCCAACATCATGGTCTCTGACACAACTGATCCCATTGCCCCAGTCACAGTGTCAATCTATCTCATCCATGGTCTTCCCCTTCTGTGCTGACCCTCTACCCTTCCAATGATGTCTTCTCCAGGGACTGGTACCTTCTGGTGACATGCCCAAAGTATGTGATACAGAGCTTCAAAATCCTTGCTTCCAAGGAGCAAAACTGGTTTCACCGTCTCCGTGACAGACCTATTTATTCTCCTGGTAGTCAGTCCATGGTATGTTCAATACTGTTCTCCAGCACCACAATTCAAAGGCATTGATTTTTCTCCTGTCATCCTGATTCGTTGTCCAGATCTCACATGCATAGCAAGCAATTGAGAAGACCATGGCCTGGATCAGAAGCATCTTAGTCTCTAGACTAACATCATTGCTCCTTAGCACTCTGGAGAGGTCCTTGACAGCAGATTTTTCCCAGTGCAACTCGACTTTTGATCTCCTGACTACTGGTTCCAAGAATGTTGATTGTGGATCCAAGTAAAATGAAACTATTAACAATCTCAATCCTTTCTCAATCTGTTAGCCCAGTGGTGAGGGTCTTTGTTTTCTTGATGTTACTTCTTGGTCTTTTGGCTAAGATCAAGTGTAGTATCAAAACCCAACCTACTAGCTGCCTATTAAGCTAGCTACTAATTTTCCTTTTAGTTTCTAAACTTGCCTAGTAGGATCTCAGCTTATCATTCCACCTACTGTACTTATCAGAATGAAGAGCTAGTTAAGAAAATTTAAATAGGCTAGAAGAGTATCGACAACATTGTATATGTTCAAGTAATATTTTTTGGCACTGGTGAGATCTTTTACCTTCAAATCCCCACGTGAGCACAACATTCTGGAAAGATTCTTTCAGGGCTGGTGTTCTGCGATAACCGTTGTTGGCAGACTCCAAGCTAATTAAGCTACCGGGCACAGTGCAGTTCTCTCCAAACTGAATCTGGATAATATTTATTTAGAGAATGAACACCAATTATTTTCAAAAGGTAGTTGTTCTAAGATAAAAGTTTGGTTTTATCTATGTGCTTTTATATGCCTGTTAAACTCTTGTCAAGGCAGAACAAACTCATAACTGACCTTCCTTGTAAATCAAGGAAGAGACTGCACACCTGATTAATTCAAATCTCCAGTGAGGTGCTATTTTTGGGTTAGTAGTGCAACTTCCCACTGACTATGCCACTGGATCTCTCTCCCTCTGCCTTATTAAGAAAGGGGAAAGTGTGATGAGGGAATTGAGGCGGGAGCAGGGGAGCAGAAAAAGAAAAGCTGCTTCATTGAGCATGAGGTCAAACGGGGTAAATGAAAAGATGGTCCAGTTAAAGGGAAAAGGCAGGGGGGAAATGAGCTATTAGTTAATATCAATCAGTCCCTGCTGTCAGAAGGTACCAGTCCTTGAAAAGAGACATCATGCTGGGAAAGGAAGAAGGTCAAAGAAAGTGAGGAAAACCCCCAACAAGATGGACTGACACAGCAACTCTAACAGTGGATCGTAGCATATGAGAGATTCTGAGGATGGTGCAGACTAGGGCAAGGTTCAGATCTGCTGTTCATTGAGTCACTTACACTGCTGTTCATAGGTAGTGGACTAACAACACCTAACAACAATGGCAATTTCACTTCATTCTTTCTCAGGACATCCCTCGCTCTGCCAGGATCTAGTTCCTATTTTTCATCTTCCTCAGCTCTAACGCGTTTACCAATCAGCAGAAACTCATGATTTGAACCTCTAATTTTCATGCTAACTCAGCTTTCCCTGTGTATCTACAGAAAGGAAATCCTCCTAATTCTCAAGGTTCAACTTAACCACCAGATGACACTTCTTCTATCTCAATATCTGGACACACCAGATATTTCAAAACTCTTTAAAAAAAGCATGAACAGGATATCCTGAACTTCCAAATTTCCTCTCTTCCACAATCCCCATTCTCATAATCCAAACAAATTTTAAAGCATTTTGATGCCACAAAAAGAGCTGTTTTTAATTCTAACAGAGGTTAATTCTAAATTATAGTAAAATCAATTAACCCAAAATTTAACAGCTTAAAACAATAATAAACATCACTTCATATTTTCTATGGGTCATGAATTTGGAAGTTCTTCCTTGAAGTTTCTTGAGAGCTTCCAATCAAGATACAGGACATAGTCATCCAAACGCTTGGCTGGTGCTAGAGGACTCACATCCAAGTTGGTACACCCAGGTAATACTGGTTAGTCATTGGAGGCCTCAGATCCTTTCCATGTGGTTCTACCCATAGGCTGCTGGATGTTCTCAACAACATGGTAATGGGCTTTCCCCAGAGAAAGTGATTCAAGAAAGAGAAAAGTAGAAGTGGCAATGTTGTTTATTTTTAATAACTGGCCATCAAGAAGAACGACTTACCACCATGCAAACAGGCTAAATGTCTATCAACATAAATTAAATGCAGTACATAAATACATTGAAGTATTAGTATTACGGAAATATAAAGGGAAATTAAGTCTTGATACATGCTACAACACAGCTGAACCTTGAAAACACTACGCTGATGGAAAGGTATACAGAGACTAAAGTTTATCACCAGAGGCAGGTGAGAAGGAGGAAAGCAGAACTCTCACTGCTTAGAGAATGAAAAGGTGATGGTAGAACAATAGGATAAACAGGTCACTGAATTATAACAGGTGAAGAATGCTGAGATGGTAAAAGTTTGGTTATCTATTTACGTGTTTATCTGTTTAAGTTGTTGTGTGCTATCAAGTTGGAACTGACTCATTCTGACCTTCCAGTGGGTTTTCAAAGGCAGTAAATCACACAAGAAGAGACTGCTCATCTTTCTACCATGATTTACATACATGTTAAGTTATATTTATGTTAATATCTCATTTATACTGTATATATAAATATAAATTTATGTTATATTCTAAATAGATA